TTTTTTAAAATTGTCACATTTACAATAGTTGGCAATGCATCCAAGCTGTCATAAAACAAAAAAATGTCAATTTAGTGTGCAATATATGTTCAAAAAGTTCAGGATGCCCAAGTTCATAGAGCAAAAAGCAAATAATATTAATCCACAATTATGAATATACTTATTTAACTTCATATATTGTAGTTATTATTCTTTAAGTACAATTCCATACAGTATGTGTTCACTTGAGAAACTGGACAGAATAGTTTCTTAAGTTCTCATCTCTCTTTTTACAAATAAATTTATACTTCCAGCTTTAAAACACAGTTCATTTGATATTAAAAGATATATACAAAAGAACATTAGCTAATTCCTGTGCCAATTAATTTCAGACGACGATATCTACACCATACAATATGTGAAACTTTTAATTAAAAATGGAATGTTTGTCCTAAGTGGAAGCCAAAACCAGAAAATTCAAGAAATATTTCGAGTGCTTAAAGATGAGTAAGTAGAATTTTGAATTATGTAAGATGCATTTATGCAAGCTATCAAAATCTTCTGGTTTTGAGCATATTAAGAACTTAAGAGCAAAGTTTATTTTACACAATAATAATTATTTCATTTTACAAGTTTATTTTTAAAAAATTAATTTTTTTCTTTCTTTAATGGGATCTTTTCAGTTTCTTACATATCTGTCACTTAATTTGCAATCCTGTTTCTCTCTCTCTCTCTCTCTCTCTCTCTCATCTCTCTCTCTCTCATTACTCCTTCAAAGAATTAGAATTCTACAAAGTTCAAATGTACACAGCAGAAAAAAAATTAAAGAAAGATATATATATATAAGAATGTCAGTACATCTTGTATTACAGAGAACAGTTGATATTCCACACGAATATCCACGGTGATAATTGCAGCAACCAAGATCAGCTGTCAGAGTTTAATAAAGAAAATAATACACTATGTATGGTTGAATCCTTTGAATCACAGGAGTACGATCAGAATGAATCACAATCGCAGGAGTACAATAAAAAAGAAAAGAATACCGGTAAATATATTTTTATAAAGCATTTACGAATATTCATAGCACTGTACCAGCACAATGTACTATAAGAACTTGTAAATACTTCGTTATATTCTAGTAGAAAATTAATACGATACGAAACGAAGAATGAGATGTTTTAATAAATGTAATATAAATATATTATTAACAAATAAAATAAATCTAATATATATGTACAATAGAATATGTATAAATATATTAAATTAAATATATATAATAAATAAATATATAAAAAATATAACAATTAAATAAATATATAAAAAATATAACAAAAGATTTTTATATCTTTGACTTTACAAGGTTTTTACATTAATTGTAATACTTATTAATAGATTTACTGATGCTATGATGTAGACTATCGTATTAATCATTAAACAATATGATGATTTTCAGATTATTGGAGCAATTCAGCAACATCGTTTCTTCTTGACAAATACGAAACATATATGTCGGATATTGGTCCCATGAAAAAATTTAAAACTAAAAAATTGATGTGGGAGCAAATTTCAAAAGACATGATGACGATGTTGAACATATCAAAAACTCCTCTTCAAATTGAAAATCGGTATAAAACTATCCTCAAAAGGAAAAAAAAAGCAGTTGAGAACAACTCTAAATCAGGCAGCTCTAGAGAGACTGTACCATTCGAAGAAGAATTGAATAAAATTGCTCATTCGGACGATAGTATTGAGCCCGAGGTGTTGCGAAGTGCGAAGAGCGTTAAATACCCTAAATTGAATAAAAGTATGTTGGAAGAAATCAGCAATGATAGTGCCCTCACACATTCTACTGAAAGCTCATTGCCAAAGACGAAAAAGTCGAAATCAAGTTCTGGTGATAAAAGGATGGAATACTGGGAAAAGAAAGAAGCGGCAAAAGAAAGGCGTCACCAAGAAAAGTTAAATCTAATACGGGAGTTATTCGCCAAACAAGAGTAGCGGGAAATAAAGTAAAATAATGCAAAAACATAAAGTATTGGAAGAACCAAAGAAAGAACAAATGTTATAGTGAATTCCATTGGATATGTTAATATTGAAAGTTCCTACATATGTTGTTGACTAAAATATTGAATGTGATATGTAATTTTAATTCTTTGTTTTTAATATCTCTTATAATTTTGTATCTTTAATAATTCTTTGTTTTAATATTAGTGCATTCGTATGTATACTTTATTTCTTTACGAAAGATTGATGCAATTGCTTAGACTATTAAGTACAAACTAGTATAAAGTGAACTTACTAAGAGTGTATTCGTATGTATACTTTATTTTTTTTACGAAAGATTGATGCAATTGCTTAGACTATTAAGTACAAACTAGTATAAAGTGAACTTACTATATTATATAATTTTAAGTTACGATTAACAAACAAACTTTGTGAGGAAGTTACTAGAAAAGTATTAAAAGATTAAATGTTTATGAAATAAATAAGAGGTATATGAATGTTGAAAAGTAATCAATATATGTTATAAGAGGTATATGTTATAAGAAGAATACGCTTTGTGTTTTCTTATAAAGTTTAATATGTACGTATTTGCTACAGAACGAATAAATATTTGATAATTTCATACACGTTAAACTGGTTTCCATTTTACGGAAAAAGTATGTTCATCAATTGGGTTCTTTTTATTTCCCCTAATCTCCGTAATAGAGCTTCTTGTTCATCTCTATCTTCATTATTATAATTTTCATTGTTTTCTATATCGATATTAACGTCAAAATCATCGTTGTTGTCTATGCATAAATTGTGTAAGACACAACAGGATATAATAAATTTTGATATTTTATCAACAGTGTGTAGATCTATTTCGATTAGTTGTCAAAAACGAGCTTTCAGAAGTCCAAATGCATTCTCTATCTTTACTCGAGTGGCACAAAATCGTTTATTGAATTTTCGTTGCTTATCAGATAGATTTCCGTAATCTCTAAAAGGAATCATTAACCATTCCCTTATGGAATATGCAGAATCTCCTAATATATGAAATTTTCCTTGTTCGCATATTCCTGGTAAATTTTCATTAATATCTGATAACTTCAGGACACGCGAATCGTGAATTTTCGCTGGTATACCAGTGAAAACATCGACAAATCTTTTGCGGGCATCACATATACCTTGTAGTGTTATTGATGGAATATCGTGCCTGTTTACATAGGTCGATTTAATTTTATGTCGTGGAGTACGTACTTTGATCGATGTACAATCAATGCAGCCAAGTACCTGAGGAAAACCTGCAATCTTATATATATTTTATAGAACTAAATGTTATATTTACTTTTATAATGTATTAACAAAAAGAAAACGAAAATAAAGTAAATGTACACATCAATAGAAATGATTTATACAATAAACTCTAAATGTGATATTTATTATAGATCAACACACTTCGAAAAACTCGTTCGCAACTTGTTCCTTTTCATCAAATTTCATTATATTTGGAGCCAAGTTAATCAAATAATTCATTACTCGGTTATGCTGTCTCAACGAAGTTACAGGGCATACTCCAAATCTCTGGGAGACATCTCTTAAACAAACTTTATTCCCAGCAAACCTATACATAGAATAATAAATCACTATTTGCATAAATGTTTTATGAGTGACAGTTTTTGATATATATATATGAAATATACCATAAAAATGACAAAATGTCCAATTCAGCGGAGGTAGGTTCACTACCTCCGTGAGTTCGATCAGACGGATAGAATTGTGAATCAGCGTAAATATCAATTATTTTATAGGCTGTACTTCTAGCAATACGAAAATGACTTTTAAACTGTAACAATAATATACACATGAATGAACATATATGTAGAATAAATCCGTTTTGTGTAATAAACACTCTATATTATATTAATAATAATAATAATAATAGTAAATAAAAATCATTGTATTGTATTAATAATAATAAAAAGTGTGTCTGCGTGTATAACCTCTTTATCTGTACATTCATGCACCAATTCAATAAAGTTTCCAATTTTGCGAATTTTATGTGGAGTTTTAAAATATTCATCTTCATCACTGCTACTAGATGATGACGAAGACAACAATTCTAGTAGTTCAAATACAAATCGAATTTTGGAATTTTCTACTTCCCGCCGTGTAGTCATATTGCACTGATCTAGCACCGTCTCTCGTAGCTCGTGCCGAATTCTTGCACTAGCGTGCGAAAATTCGGCACTAGGATTCCCAGTGAAACAGCGTGCACCGTTTTCGTGCGCACTGAAATGCTCAGTGAAACACGTTGCCCGCGGCGAGTGCGCACTCAGTGCGCACCAGTGCAGCCAGTGAAATACGGTATAATTTTCCTCTCATTCGCGCCGAGTGAACAAAGTTCCTTATTGGTGCTGCCATTGTGAGAATATACAAGTCACGTGCACCAATCACGCGGATTCCCGTATGCGTAACGTTGGCGACACTGTCGTGTCTCCAGATCGCAGCGCTCGCCGATCATGTATAGCGCTCCTAGCGGAAAGAAAGTCAGATGGACACGAAAAGAATGTGTGGAATGCGGTCGACGATGATAATAATAATAATGATGACCAGGACGACGTATCTGAAAATCTGAGAAGTGAAAAGTAGCAGTTCGGAACTTTGCGTCGCGATATCTCCGCTCGTAGGGCACGTACAAAATAAATAAAAGCACTTTTATTATACAATTCGTGTGGTGGCTATCGATTGAGCATACATAGAACGCGATCGATTCAGCCGTTATATGAGATCCGATAACCTCGATATGCCGCAACTCTTCGGTTCGCGTAAAGGAGGCCACGGCAGTGTCGCTTTGCTTTGGCTTAGCGCCGAGACACTACCAGTGTCTCCAGATGTCCTTCATTGTGCGCAAGGTCTAATATTACAATACGTAATACAGAGAAAATGTGTTCAATATTAATGCCTAATACCTGTCCTCTTTGATAGTAGATATCGCCATAACATGAATTTATACTAATGGATAATTCCAAGTCCTTGAAAGCGATTTCTGATACCAGTTACATCGGAATACAAGGTTTCTGATAGGTTGAAATCTTAATATCTATTCTTGTTCCTAATATTTCCTTCATTGTGCGCAGGGTCTAATGATTTCATTTCGATGAAAATGGAATCTATGATATTATCAGCCGACTGTCAGTTGCATTCATATGATTAATAGTGTATTACTGTATTCGATTTACTGACTCGATCCGACTCCGATCTGCTCTTTTTAGCTGCATTTCTTTCACAATTTAGCTCTTCTTTTGCAGTTAAATAGAACCGATTATTGATTCGGAGTCGGGTCGAATCAGTAAATGGAATACGCTATAATACTGCAAGCATTGTTATATAGACAAATTAAACTAGTATTTTTTTTATTTACTGAATTCCAATACTTAATTCCAATGATATACCTATATTTCGATATAATAAATATAAATGTAATACTTAGAAAAATAAGAGAAATAAGAATATAATACTTAGAAAATGTAATAAGAAGCATATTAATAAGAAAAATATGAATGTTTAGAGAAATAAGAAAATCTTTATTTATTCTAACGTAACTGATATACATACTGTAAGGCGGGCAAAGATTCTTTTACGAAACCGTCTTGCGAGCAGAATAAGAAAGAACTATCATTCACAATCCGCGAGAGGCAATGAAGAATAACGAACTCTCGGGCCATAGGGTTGTGTCAGGGAAAGGATAAGCTAGGCTTAAGCCGGATAGGGAGAGCAAAGGATTGATCACAGGATAGCAGTGAATGACACGTTTATTAATCGCGATTACTTGTTGATCGTTCGCTGACAACGATACGCCTACACACACCATAATCGTCGAGTCTCCTTCCCTACGCTCTTCTTCTCCTTTTCCAGATATCTCAAGCGACCAATCAGGATCGCTGTAATAGCTGACGACCAATCAGGATCGCTGTAATGGCCGATAGCCAATCACGCTCCTTCTCACTAGAAGTGGTGCCATGAGCACTCTTGACGGCGCACGGAACGCCATCACGCGGAATAACGTGGACTTAAAGTAAAGTTGGCGATGAGACAGAGCTTCTCTTACAATACATATGCATTTAAGCGTAAATACATTATTTAAAAACATAAATTTTTTAAATATTTATATTATTCTTCCTCTCACGTCTTCCGCGACCTCCACCGTCCACGTCCTCCGCGGTCTCCGTGTTCTCCGCGGCCTCCGCGTCGGTTATCTTCCCTATCTTCCCTATGGGGACGATATCTGGCACTGTTTGGACTGGCACGGCTCTTCTGCCAACGCCTGGCTGTAATAAATTTGAAAATGATTAAAATTTAGTATTTTAAAATGACATATGTGTAAATTTTTAACCACATTGAAGAAAATTAATAAGTTAAATAAGTTAAATTAAATAATAAAAGTAACTTGTCGAAATTAATTCAATTCTATCTAACTGCACTTACTGACTATAAGGTAATTGTTATACTTACGTTTTTCTTGTTGTTTGAGGTCCTGCGTCTCCGCTGGTCCTGAAGGCCCGTCTACAATACACGGAGTAAGAAGTAAGAGTAAGAAATTGACCAATCACAGTCGA